TTTGTGATGGTGGACGGGTTACTCTATCTTGATAAGGCCGGAATAAAAAGATTAGTAGTTCCATCTAGTGAGCGATTGCGTAGTTTGTTTTTAGGCGAATGTCATGATGCAACTGGGCACTTTGGCTACAAGAAGACGAGTGTTAACCTAGTACAACGATTTTGGTGGCCAGGAACGTTTGATGACGCAAAGAAGTACGTTGAGACCTGTCAGGTCTGTCAGCGGGACAAGCCGCGAACTCAAGCACCGCTTGGGTTGTTGAAGCCTTTGCCTATTCCCTTTGGTCCAGGACAGAGTGTTTCCATGGATTTCATGGACACCCTGGTGACTAGTAAGAGTGGCAAGAGGCACATCTTCGTCATCATCGATCGATTCACCAAGTACGCTAGACTAGTGGCTATGCCAGAGACCGCAAGAACTGACTATGTCATCAAGTTGTTCAAAGACAACTGGGTGCGTGACTTTGGTTTACCAAAGTCAATCGTTAGTGACCGAGATGTCCGATTCACAAGTGAGCTGTGAAAGAAGACTGCAGAACAGATGGGCAGTCAACTTCAGATGACTTCAAGGAATCATCCCGAAGCCAACGGACAAGCCGAGCAAATGAACAGAGTTGTACAACACTTGATGAGGCATTACCTCAAACCCAGCCAGGATGACTGGGATGAGCAGTTGCCTCTCATCGCCAACCCGTACAACAATGCTGTCCACAACAGTACCGGCGTTAGTCCTAATCAACTACACTTGGGATGGAAGCCTAGATCAGCATTAGACTTCCTCCTACCTGAAAACCGACCCGCTGCAACTCCAGGCACACTTGAGTATGGTGTGCAGTATGAGAAGTTGCTGCAAGAAGCTGTCGAGCACAGGAAGAAAGCTCAACAAGCAATGATTGCTTCTGAGAATTAACACCGTAGACAGTCCACATTTCAGGTAGGGGAACGTGTCTGGGTCAAGGCTAGTGAGTTAGGATAGGAATTCGGAATCTCTCGCAAACTAATGCCTCAGTACTTTGGTCCCTGGGAAGTCCTGGATATAGTGGGGGATGAGATGGATGGTGCCACATATGTCATTCGTGTCCCTGGACACCTACGCACTCACCCAGACTTTCATGCCTCAAAGCTTGCACCTTTCGCTGAGACAGATCAATTCCCTTCCAGGAGATCGATGCTGCCCCCAACCATGGATGGTCAAGTGGACATCGACGACATTGTGGATCAAAGGGATATGCCTGTTCTGAAGCCTCTGGGTCGAGGAAGACCTCCTAAACCCAAGAGAGAGTATCGCGTCAGATTCAGGCATCATACGGATCCAAAAGAAGATCGGTGGTTTACCAGGGAGGAACTGATTGAGACAGCTCCTCAGGTGGTGGCAGAATATGAGAGACTGATGAAAGGGAAGGTACCTGCGAAGTAAGCATCTCAGTGAACTTTCGAAGCTAAGGGGGATGGAATGTGAGGATTGAGCCCTCAAGAAGGGGCCTTGCCATGATGTACATGTCCTGGGCTAAGGCCCCAACAAGCCTAGTGCCCGCCCTAAGTGAAGGCGGGCCAGCAAATCAACAAGAGCCCTCTGTGCAAACATTTCCCGAAGTGGGGTCCATACAGTTGCAKCACGCCAGTTGGTTGGAGTGCACCGAGTCTCGAATCTCTGCAAATGTGGAGACCCCAGGGCCTCTGAGTTAGTTAGGCCCTGGGCAATTGAACGTGAGGCCGACAATGCATGCTGGGTATATAGGCCGAAAATGCCAAAGGGAAATCGGCCCACTATCTGAATCTGGCCGCAGGCCTTGATGAAAGAGGCGCAACTGCTTTGCCCCGGGCCTTAACTGTATCGGGCTGGGTTCAGCCACTGGGGCCCGGTCGCAGGCTGAAGGGAGGCCGCCCACACGCAGCACTGGCATATAGGCAAGCAGGGTGAGTGGGCAGGGATCTTGGCCATTGCGGGCAATGCCGGCACGCTGCGCTGCTGCGCTGCGCTAAGACAGGGTGCAAGGCAGGCAGGCGCTGGGCGGTAGGGCGCTGCCTGTGCACTGTGCACTGGCGGCCATAGCCGGGCTGCATAGGGCGCAGGGGAGGTGAGGGTGAAGGTGGTTCTTCGGAGGTGAAGGGCGCTGTGTGGGCAACAAGGGAGAGTGTGGGTGAAGAGGACACATACCTGGTGGAGGTGGAGGTCAGCATTGGTGTTGACATCATCACTCGCTGGTAGTCAAGTTGTCTAGTTGCTTTCATTGCTGTAGTTGTAGGCTTAGTCTGTAGAGTAGTTAGGGCGCCTGGCGCCATTCATAAGAGAGAGCTGCATTGGGTTATGCTGTTGGTGTTGCCCTGTTGGGCATGGACATTGACTCACGATTCTTCTGTATCATTCTCAATTGGATGGTTACTCGGTTCCATTGTGCTATCTGCTCTGGCTTTGACTACTTGGACTTCAGTGTGATTTTGCATTCTGGATTTCTGTGCTTCGTCCATATTCATGTTCCTTGCATTTGGAGCAACTTTCAGTCTACACACAACGGTTATCAACCATAACGTTTTGATTCGGGACAGCAGTAATAACTATAATGCTATTCGGGTAAAGTCGTTGTCCTAGTATTACTGTTCCTTTGTTTATCGTCAATCCCTATGGTTAGTGTCCTGAATGTAAATTACATGGTTCGAGTTCTCTGTACGATAGAGTTATTGGTGACCAGTCAGTCCGAGTTGGAAACCTCACAACACACCACACAAAACCATATAGAACAAGCGAGGTGCCAGAATCAATCTTATTCAAGTCGGCTGACCATGTGAATACAGTTACTGAGGTTCGGATACTAGCAAAGCTTCTCTTTGTTAGGAAGAAAATTGAGTTTCACAGTTTGATGTTACAAGGTTGACGGTTGAAGTTTAAGTTTCTAGTTTGAAGTTGGAAATTTTGAGGGTTTGAAGTTTGAAGTTTTAAGTTCGGAATTTTAAGATTTGGTTTGAAGTTTGAAGTTTGAAGTTTGAAGTTTGGAGTTTGGAGTTTGGAGTTTGGAGTTTGAAGTTTGAAGTTTGAAGTGCAACAAAGTTGCCTGCCTTCAACTTTTTCTTTGTTCTGTGTGCCTTTGAACTTGGAAGTTTGAAGTTTGACCGTTGAATTTTGAGTTTCAAAGTTTGACATTTGAAGTTTACCAGTTTGAAGTTTGAAGTTTGAAGTTTGAAAGTTCGAAAGTTTGAAGTTTTGAAATTTTGAAGTTTGAAGTTCAGAAGTTAGAAGTTAGAAGTTAGAAGTTTGAAGTTTGAAATTTGAAGTTTGAAGTGCAACGGAGTTGCCTTTACCGAAGAAATTCAGGAAGGCCTGCAACTTTTGCTTTGTTTTGTGTGCCTTTGAATGTTGAAATTTGAAGTTTGATCCTTGATTTTGAGTTTCAGAGTTTGACCTTTGGAGTTTGAAGTTTGAAGTTATCAAGTTTCAGAGATTGAAGTTTGAAGTTTGGAGTTTGGAGTTTGAAGTTTGGAGTTTGGAGTTTGGAGTTTGAAGTGCAACGAAGTTGCCTCTACCAAAGGAATTCAGGAATGCCTTCAACTTTTGCTATTCTCTACGTGCCTTTGAATGTTGAAGTTTGATCCTTGAATTTTGAGTTTCAAAGGAGTTTGAACTTTGAAGCTTGAAGTTTCAAAGTTTGAAGTCTCAAAGTTTGAATTTTCAACGTTTGAAGTTTGAAGTTTGGAGTCTGATGTTTGGGGTTTGAAGTTTGGAGTCTGAACTTTGAAGTTTGAAGTTTGAAGTTTGAAGTTTGAAGTTCGAAGTTTGAGCTTCAAAGTTTTGAACTTTGAAGTTTGAAGTCTTTGGGGTTTGAACTTGGTTGTGCTGTTTTATGAGTGCATGGGAAGTGTTGAACTGATGTGATTTGACTCTCAAGATCTCTCAAGTCCTAGGTTGCACGCTGACTTTAATTTATGTTAACGTAAGAATTTCAGCCTTTTCAGGTGCTGTGTGCTGTGTTTGAATGACTGTCGCTGTTGTGCTATGATCTCTGCTTATTATGATGTATCTGATCACAGAGTTCTGCGAAATGCAGGTCTAAGAGGAGAGCACTTCCTGCAGAGAGCACTTGCATGAAGAAGATCAGGCCTGACTGGGATCCGGATTTCGTGAACATGCACCCATTCTCCCCGGAGCCGATGATGCCTTCCCCTGAGGAGTGTGGGACTGCATCTGTTCCAACATTGCTGTCACATTCGTCGTGCGGTCTATCTTTGGTCCTCCAGCCTGGAACTACTTCCCGGAGATCTCTGTTGGGACTGCGGTCCCACCATAGTCCCATGGGCCCAGCCAGTACCGGAAGACAAGAAAAGAGACCGTGGGAGAGAAGAGGTATGATGATACAGGCTACATCCCAAGAGACTTTTACGAAAGGAGGAGTGGGAGGAGGAAGAGGAGTAGTAGTAGCAGGAGGAGGAGGAGGAGGAGGAGCAGAAGGAAGAGGAGGAGGAGGAGGAGGAGGAGGAGGAGGAAGAGGAGTGGGAGGAATGGAAACTGGTGCTCATGGAGGACGGTTACAAGGAATAGGAAACGTGGTAAGAGAACAATGTCGGTCGGAGAACGAAAGGAGTGTTTGTTTGACGACATCGACACATCGTGGCCGAGACTCCGTACGCGTCCCCACCAACTTCTTGAAAAGGGGTTCAGAATATGCGAAGGCGATTATACATTCCAGGTCAAGGGAGTGCAAAGGGAGAGAAAGAGGGTGTGTGTATAACAGATCGAAAAGAGATGCTGCTGATAAACCGTCCGCATGTGCACATGATGAGAATGCTGCTCATCATCACACTTACTTTGGTGTTGGGGTACGTTCACATTTCCTCTGGCTCGCACTTATTTCGATTTTGATTTTGATCTTTTTCCTCAAGTTTCTTTTTGTAAAATTTAAATTTAAAGGGGCCCTTTGTAGTCCGGGCTAACACATTTCAGAAGCAGATGACAAACCTTTTTTTTTTTTTTTTTTTTTTTTTTTTTTTTTTTTTTTTTTTTTTTCCGGTTCGTCTGAGGCAAGCTACGAGCAGGAGGAAGTTACATATTGATGGACCCATCATGGGCACGAAAAAGAAAAAGGAAAAAAAAGCAGAGAAAGGACATCAGAAGACAAGAAGGGCAAGATGTATTAAAAATTTAAAAGTTGAAACATTTTTTGTCCTCCCTTTTCTTTCATATTACGAATGCATGTGTGGCTCCTGCAATCAGACTCGCATACTTCGTCACTCCACATGCATACAAACAGATGGTGAATCACACTGGCGCAGAGCGCCCAACTCAAAGCTCGAAGATTATGGAAACCAAGACACAGTTCAGATGTAAGCTCGCTTCAACAGGCTATGGTGCATCAGCACCCACACATCGCAACTCTTGTCACTGTGTCCAACACCACTGTTCGCTTCACACTTCAACTCCGGATCACCCTGGATACCCCCACGCACACACTCTGCACACACACGAATACACACCTATCACTAACCTACGGCAGCTATGGCTGCCCGCTAACACTAATCTACAAGCAGCTATGGCTGCGCTAACTCCCTTCAGCCCACTTCGACTTCAGGCTCCTCTGCAGACCACCTCGCACAAGTCACCGTGGCAGCGCTTCCGCATGGCTTCCGCAGGAATGAATGAATGGCTGGGCGCTGCCTCTTGATTTATACTTCTGTAACTCGTTGGTCTGCCCCTTTCCCTCGGCCCAGGATGCACACAGTCCCCCATGGTACTTGCTGGACTGGACTGGGACTGACTGGACCGTACCGCTGGCTGACTGCTTGGGGACGCACTGCTAACCTACGCTATCGTACTGCGAACGTACTGCAGTTGGTCCACCACTTGCCCACTTGCCCACTTGCCTCAGCCTAAAACGTGAGCAAGCTGCGAAAGGCCACTTC